AAATGACCTATGTAACCAAATATAAAGTATTGGGGTGTTTAATATATACCCTTCATTTGGATGGAAGGTCATATTAGATTTTGAGTGTTACTAGGTAAACATTATTTTGTGTGTGTGAGTGTGTTTTGTGAGGAAACCAATTGTCTTAGGTATAGTTCTATCGTTGGATGTAATATTTTTTAGTTTATTTGGTGAAAAGTCATTTTGTGCTTTATATCTATGTTGATCAGTTGTTCTGTATGAACAAATGCACATACACGTTTGTTGTGTATAAGCATGGTATTATGTATATATTGTGGAGTGTGTGTGTGTATATTTATATATATATTATAGTGTATGTATATTATATTATATATATATATATATATATATATATATATGTAGATGGTTTGTAGGACTCATTCCTACATGTTTTATTATGAACTCCGGGACTGTTTGTTTGGAAGTCGGTTGGTGGGTTTTGTTTTAGTAGAATTTGTTATATCAACTGTTTTTACAATGTTTTTTTTGTGTTATCTGACATTGCTCTGGCCACTTCTGTTTTGGATGTTATGTATTGTTGTCTTGTTTTTGTTTTTAGTGATAAGTTTTCTTGTTTGTTTGTTTGTTTGTTCTAGTATAATCCGTCTGTGAGTTAAAGAAATATTGCAAATACAATGTATGTGTATATGGTGCATGTGTATGTATATTACATATATACTTGATATGGACATATTACTTCATGTTTTATGACTCCGACGTTAGATTTTGTAGTCGGTGTTGTTTTTTTTTTCCGTAAACGGGTTGGGTTTCTTAGGGTGATTTCATTATATCATTATTGTTAAAATGGGTTTTTTTTTTTTTTGTTTATTGTGTGTGTTGACATTGTCTGTCACGGTTTTGGATTTGCTAATTTTCGGCTTGTATCAAGTGTAATGTTGATTTTAAATAAATATAAAAAAAAAATTAATAATTCATGATAGAGAAACAACAAATACCATAACTGTGTGTCTTACTCATGAAATCGCTGCCCAGTATAATTTTCCATAGAGGAGGTGTTGAGCCAGTGCATAAATTGTGGGAAATGTTAGACAGCATTGGATTAAATGTAAATGAAGAAGTATAGACGATTCTTTTACTCAGGAACAATACCTGAGAGATGTAAATGGAATTGGACAATACTGGGTACGATTCCGTCGGAGAATGAAACCATCCAGATTTTTACACTAATAAAGATGGTTTGACAATTAAAGGCTCAGCTCCGCGAACTGAGTAAGACACCAGAAATTTGCTGAATGTTATAATGATATAATTACTAAACAATTAATTAATTAAATTTATAGAAAAGGTACCTCCTGAGCAAGCCAAAATTTATGGTCACTATTGCCACAAGTTCACGGAGTGACAAGAAAGGATTTTAGACCATCCTCTGAGGATTGTGTTTAATTGTAGTGCCAGGAATAGGTAACAACAAATGTACTAGTTTAAATGACTGTTGATGGACAGGTCCGTCGTTGTCGGAAAAATTAGGTGAGGAGATATATTATTAAAAATTTTCAGGAGAGAAGATTATGCTTTTTACGGCTGACATAAGTAAAGCTTTCTAAGAGTGGGGTTTACAAGAGGCTGACCGGGATTGTACTCGCTTCTTTGCGGCCTGAGAATCTAGTGACCCACGTAGCCCTCTGAAATACCTTTCGCTTTAGAGCTATTATTTGGTGCTACATCCAGTACGTTGCCTACTTCAAGTGACGATAAACTGCACACCTAAACGTTATGGGAAGTCACTGAGTTTAAGTAATGAACAATTTTATGTGGGCAATTCCTGTGGAGTGCCGTCAATGAAGAGGAACTGGTTAATGACTTATTGGAGAGGGCTAATAAAATAATGCAAAAGTGTTTAAATATGCCTCTGAGAGAATGGAATAGTAATTCGCCAAATGAAAGGACAAAATAAGTAAAGATTACCCTGGAGATAAGTGCCAAAGTTGTTAAGTAAGAATTGGATTAACTTGGGATACTGAGAGTGTTTGTTAATGTTAAAAACTAATAATTAGAGTATGCCCAATAAATTAATAAGAGAGTCTTGCTTGCTGAAGTTTTCCAAATGTTCTGTTTCCACTAGGCTAGTGTCACCCCTTACTATAAAGGAGGGAAATTATTTAATACAGAAGCATGGAAGCTTAAATTTGCTTGGGTGAAACTTGCTGAGGAATTCATTAAACAGGTGGGGATATGAATTAATTAGTGATTATGAAAAAAATTCCAATGTCTGGAGTTCCCAATGCCGGTTGGCTAATCCAGATGGGAAAAATATACTCCACATTTTTTGTGATGCTTCAAAATTGACATATGGAGCAGTTTGGCTTACCTTCAATGTAATAGGTGTTTATTTCTCTAGTTATGTCTATGGCTAAGGGTTCCATTTAAATCATACCTTACCTCAGTTGGAAATTAACAGCCATTTATGTAAATGTCAAATTAGCTAATTATATAAAAATAAAGTTGCAGGAGATAAATATTAGCTCGACACTGTATTTGGTCTGATAATGAAGGTATCCTTTACAATGGAATTCATATAGAAACAGTTAAAATTTAGTAGTACAAAACAGCGTTCGCTGAAATTATCAGATGCAAGAGAAGAGAAGTATAATAGTTTGGGTCCACCCATATGTAACAATTTTAATCATATACTGGTGAGGAAGAAACCAGCTGATTTTCTTGTCTAGAGGTTTACCTGATGCTAAATTCGTAAATGCGTATCATGGTTTAATGTACCGAAGCTGGTTTGTAAATAAGCTATTGGCCTTACAAAGGTGTATATTGCTCCTGTTGAAATTATTGTGACCACCACTCCAATAGTTTGTCCTTCCTTAGCCATTGATATAAATAGGTATTCTTCTTTATCCAAACTAATCAATGTAACTAAGTTGGTGATTAAGTTTCTAAACAAGATGAATATCTCGTATAAGTTTTCACATCCTCTTGAATATTGGATAAAGAGGGTACAGGAAGAAATATATGGAAATGAGATTAAATTGATGATGGAAAGAAAAATTGTGAAAGGTTCCATAATAGAGAAATTGGGGCTGTATTTAGAGAACAATGTAATTAGGTGCAGAGGTAGGTTACAAAATTCTGAATTGGGTGATTATGTTAAACACTCTGTCTTAATGCCCAAAAGTCATCATCTAACAAATTTAATTATTTTAAATGTCCATAAAAATGTAATGCATGGTGGGGTTACAAGAAACCTTAAATTGTATTAGGGAAACCCTCTGGATTCCACAGGGACGTCAAAGTGTAAAAAGGGTGATTAAATCTTGTGTAATATGTGTGTGGATGCCAGATCCTATATGTACCCAGGTCCTCCACCATTATCAAATAAGCAATTTGAGTCATTTAGCAACGACCTCCGCCCGGCCGCAGAGTGGAAAATAATTTCCCAAAATTATGCTGTGTAAATAAACCTGATTAAAAGTGCATTTTAAATAAGAGAATCGACAGGGAAGCTCTGCGCCTGCACTGACGAGCGGGGAGGAGACGCTGTTGTTTTTTAATGTGTTACAAGCATGTTAATGGAAGGTGTATAATTTTCGTCGCTCTAGGGGTTATATTGGGTTTAAAACCTCTCAAATAGGAGCCAAAATTGTTGTATGTGCATTCCTGCATAACTTGAGCATTAACCAGATGCACAAGACAGCTCCAGGAACTTCAGATAAGCTATTTAAATTATGTTTGTAATTCTGAAAAGTATTATCATCATAAATTTGGTTAGAGAGGTTCTGTACATGACACAGTAATCTCCAGACTAATTGGTGAGTGTTATGATTATAAATTCTCCCTCTGTTATATAAATGTGTATATGTAATCATTTATTAATTTTAATATACAGTCCACAAATTTATATTAAATTTTACCAGAATTCCTGGTGATGTACATTTCATTTGCAATTAATATAGGTCTAGAGTAACTTGTGGAGAGATAGATGGTAGGTATCGAAGGGGGACATTTTTTGCGACCTAGGTGTCCTAAAAATTCCTACTTGTCTCTGTAACTTTGATAAATAATAATTATCTTTGTTACCATTTACTTGTATGTATCTAATGAGATATATCCAGGTAAATGTAATTTTCCACACCAAATATGTCTGTGGCCATTTATTAAGATATGTATTTTGAAATCAGTTCTCATATTTATAACCTTCACTATGTCTTTTTTATACCTTATACTGCATTTTGTAGTATCCTGTATCATCATTTATTTTCTGTTTCTTCTTTCCATCCTTTCTCACCTTCTCCCCTTCATTTGTTTATCCCACCTTCCCATATATCTCTTTCATAACCTCCCCCCCTCCTTCACGCCAGAATCTCTTTTATTTATCTTGCACACGTATACAACGTATTCCTAAATTTCTCAAACTCATTTCATCACACATTTAACTCTCCCACACCTCTATAACTCGCGCATACATATCTGCAACTCCCACACCACTAAAATATGTCACCCGCTTACTGCCAAACTTCTCTTGGTATTTTCCTCAAAAACTACCCCCCCCCACACACACACACATTCATGTAATTAACATATTCTTAGTGTCTGCTCCGGAAACTTAATTTTATACTTGAGCTCATACTCGCACCTCCTAAGATTTTAATGTCTCAGTATGTCTCGCGAGACATGCTGAGATTGAGGACAAGAGATGCCAGAGTACAAGGATAATTCTCTCGATTGCGGTGTAGACAGGAACATATTTAGCTCACAAAAACAGTTTCGACTTTTTTAATTATAAATTCCATTATCAGTTAACAATGACTGCGGGTCTCTGAGCGTATCAAGATTTAACATACATGTAATTTTTATCATCAGTAAATCATGTTTGTATCAAGGTACATTGTGCTAATAATTAATACATATATCAATAATTTCCAGCACTGGAAAAATGCTGGGTTAGTATGGCACTCATGATATTCCAAAATAATTTACTTACATGATTTGCAGATAGTGAGGAAAACCGACTAGTCATATTCGACCTTGTGTGGGTGTGGTGGGAGGCTGATGACTGGAGATATAAAGCCAGGCTCCAGGCCAGGAAGGAGACAGTGACTGCTCACCATCACAACATTGCACTACCAAACATGTTCACTTCCGTGAGTATTTTTATTCAGTTTACATCCATAATAATGTTTTACTTGGTTTTACTTGCATTCAGTGAATTTACTTCAAACCCCGAATGTTGAGAAATATTGGCTCAGCCGAACCATCCATTCATATAATTTATCAACTTATATAATTAACCAATAGATATAGTTCAACTATTCAACAGTGTATAATTGCTTGCATTCCTCTTTAACATTAGAAGCGGAACAACTTTGAATATTTCCTGAACGGTGAGCTCATAATAACAAATTTAATTTGATACTTTCTGTTCTCTAATATTTGTCATCATAAAACTCCGACATTTTTATTCTTTTATCTGGATTACCTGGAGTTTACCTGAGAGAGTTCCGGGGGTCAACGCCCCCGCGGCCCGGTCTGTGACCAGGCCTCATGGTGGATCAGAGCCTGATCAAAACAAATCTCAAAAGTATTTTGAAAAAATCAAATTTGAGGTATCTGCTGATTCTTATATAACCATTCAGCAATCAAGCCTACTCAGAGGTTTGTAAGATAATTATCCAGGTCGCAAGTCTCTATGAAATGTTTCTCGTTAGCAATTCGAAATATAAGGAATATTAGATTCAGAGTGCAGATTTGATTTAGGCGCTGGGTACATTACATGCAAAAACTATTGCAATGGTCTTCATGGCATACAGATGTTAAGCAAGAAGGGGAAAATAAAGAGCATACTCCACCAATATTCAAAACTCTAAACTTACTCACCGTACAAAACATCCATACTTATTATTGTGCCTACTACATACATAGAACACTAAACTCAGATATAAACCCTCCCCTCAAACTTCTCCTTACCAACCTTAACAGGACACACGACCATAACACAAGACACAGATCACTCTTTGATGTTCCTCGTGTCCATCTCACACTATGTAAAAACTCAATGCACATAAAAGGCCCAAAAATTTGGAATTCATTACTTGTGAATACCAAAGAAACACTGTTTATCAATTCAAGACTCTTCTTAAAAAACATTTACTCACCCAAAATTAAATACACAGTACTTAGCTCTACCTAGAAAATTAACAAATCACTTTCTACTGCCTCAAAATATCATTACACACTGTTACTCCCCTGGCCTCAGAACCCCATAATTAAATGCTCAAAGATCAATAAATATTGAATAAGTGTAAGTGTTCCTAAGCCTTGCCTTACCTTAATGCAAAGAAAAAATTGAATTTTTTTCAAAAAAAAACCAGATATCTTAAGACTCGATTAACATTTCACCACTAAAATAAGGTTTTGAATTTTTTTACCACAAAAACTCGACCTTTAATTTAGCTCTTCTTATTTCGGGAAAAATATTATAAATATTTAATGTAAAGTATCCCTAATACACAAGGTACTTAATTTAACTAATATTTTCCATTTATTTCACTAGAGTATTTCAACTTTCCTATACAGTACTATTCTCTATCGCCAAACTATTATTTCCTTAATTACCTAGGTAGGGGGTGTGTGGACCAGGTGTTTACAGTGAAACATATAAGTGAACAGTATTTAGATAAGGCTAAAGAGGTCTTTGTGGCATTTATGGATTTGGAAAAGGCGTATGACAGGGTGGATAGGGGGGCAATGTGGCAGATGTTGCAAGTGTATGGTGTAGGAGGTAGGTTACTGAAAGCAGTGAAGAGTTTTTACGAGGATAGTGAGGCTCAAGTTAGAGTATGTAGGAAAGAGGGAAATTTTTTCCCAGTAAAAGTAGGCCTTAGACAAGGATGTGTGATGTCACCGTGGTTGTTTAATTATTTATAGATGGGGTTGTAAGAGAAGTAATGCGAGGGTTTTGGCAAGAGGCGTGGGGTTAAAAGATAAAGAATCACACACAAAGTGGGAGTTGTCACAGCTGCTCTTTGCTGATGACACTGTGCTCTTGGGAGATTCTGAAGAGAAGTTGCAGAGATTGGTGGATGAATTTGGTAGGGTGTGCAAAAGAAGAAAATTAAAGGTGAATACAGGAAAGAGTAAGGTTATGAGGATAACAAAAAGATTAGGTGATGAAAGATTGAATATCAGATTGGAGGAGAGAGTATGGAGGAGGTGAACGTATTCAGATATTTGGGAGTGGACGTGTCAGCGGATGGGTCTATGAAAGATGAGGTGAATCATAGAATTGATGAGGGAAAAAGAGTGAGTGGTGCACTTAGGAGTCTGTGGAAACAAAGAACTTTGTCCTTGGAGGCAAAGAGGGGAATGTATGAGAGTATAGTTTTTACCAACGCTCTTATATGGGTGTGAAGCGTGGGTGATGAATGTTGCAGCGAGAAGGCTGGAGGCAGTGGAGATGTCATGTCTGAGGGCAATGTGTGGTGTGAATATAATGCAGAGAATTCGTAGTTTGGAAGTTAGGAGGAGGTGCGGGATTACCAAAACTGTTGTCCAGAGGGCTGAGGAAGGGTTGTTGAGGTGGTTCGGACATGTAGAGAGAATGGAGCGAAACAGAATGACTTCAAGAGTGTATCAGTCTGTAGTGGAAGGAAGGCGGGGTAGGGGTCGGCCTAGGAAGGGTTGGAGGGAGGGGGTAAAGGAGGTTTTGTGTGCGAGGGGCTTGGACTTCCAGCAGGCATGCGTGAGCGTGTTTGATAGGAGTGAATGGAGACAAATGGTTTTTAATACTTGACGTGCTGTTGGAGTGTGAGCAAAGTAACATTTATGAAGGGATTCAGGGAAACCGGCAGGCCGGACTTGAGTCCTGGAGATGGGAAGTACAGTGCCTGCACTCTGAAGGAGGGGTGTTAATGTTGCAGTTTAAAAACTGTAGTGTAAAGCACCCTTCTGGCAAGACAGTGATGGAGTGAATGATGGTGAAAGTTTTTCTTTTTCGGGCCACCCTGCCTTGGTGGGAATCGGCCGGTGTGATAATAAAAATAATAAATAAAGTGTAATTCATAACTGTATCTCATAAATGTATAACCTGTGACCCTATCAAACTATGTTTTTAATTGCATTACCTAATAGAATAATCCATTCTCTTGAATGCACAGTAACTCATCTAATTACCACATGACCTGTCTCTGCACTACAAATCATTGATATTATTCGATTTGATCTGATTAATAAATTGAATGACTACATACAGTAAACCGATCATTGTTATATTATACATTGTAATGCTACAAATTTGTACAACTATAATGCTTCAAAATTGAAATGTTCAGATTTCATTGTTTAAAATACTCAACTGTACTTCAAATTGTAAATGGTTTACTGTAATTTTTATCACTGAATCTATCATGGCTTAGTTAATCTTAAGTTAATTTTAAGCCTACCCATAATGCTCTGCATACAAGGGGCTTTTGACATGTACACCCAACTACTATAATTTCTTGTACAACTATGTATCATGTCTAAATAAACTAATTATTATTATTATTATATTATTATTATTATTATTAGAACGGTGATGACGTCGGAGGTAAATTCTGCGTGTTCGTTGATACAGTGGGCAGTCCAACAGAATATGCCTAACAGAAAATGGAACCTGACAATTCTCACAGAGTGGTACAGGGCGCCTCTCCATGAGATACCCGTGAGTAAGACAAGTGTGGCCGATGCAAAGATGAAAGAGTGTAGTCCCCCAACCTCGACATTGATGAGAAGACGGTCAGGAACCTTTACTTGGTTTAATAGAATGCAATTTGTTATGTAGTAGATCAGACTAATGTTGTTGCCAACAGCTGCGAAGGTAGGTAGAAATCACAGCAAAATAGTCTGTGAGTGGAACACCTCCATATGAAACTGGGAGGTCATGTACTGCTGACCACGCAGCAGTGTCTGCCTGTTCATTGCCCTGCACGTCAACATGACCGGGGACCCAGCAGAAAACAATATCTTTGTGCTTGCTAGAGATACGGCATAACCAAAGTTGGATACGAGGAACCAGGGGATGAGGTGAATCAAATTTTCATAGAACGTGCAAAGCACTAAGGGAGTCTGAAATTACTACAAATGGTGACACAGGCATAGATGCAATACAGATAAGTGCTATGAGAATTGCTTACAATTCAACTAAAAATGCTAGCCGAGGCTAATAAATGCCCTCGAATGACATTGTCCAGAAACATTACTGCAAATCCGACACTGTCAGAAGACTTGGAACAATCAGTGTACACTGCAATGGCATGAGAATAAGACTGGAAGTGATTAAGAAAAAGAGAGCGAGAAGCAACCGTAGGTATTTGGGCTTTCAAGAATGGCAGTGGGAAAGAACAGACACGAACCATTCGAACTTCCCAAGGGAGAAGGGAAAAGTTAGATGTTACATGAACACAGAAAGGTGGCAACTGAAGAGAAGACAAGAGCGAAATGTAGATGAAGAGAAAAGGGAAGGAGTAAACAGGGGCGGCAAACAAATAAGGAACTTCTACTAACATCCGTTACCATCCTATATATGGAAGGATTGCGGAGGTCTTAAGAGCGAACAAAATAGCGGAGGCAATGAGCATCACGGCTGTCGGTCAAGGATGGAATATTTGCCTCTGCACAAAGGCTCTAAATAGGTGAAGAGCGAAAAGCACCGAGGCAAAAACGTAATCCCTGGTGATGGATGGGATCAAGGCTAGAAAGAGTTGCAGGAAAGGCCGCTGAATATATCTGGTCGCCATAATCTAGTTTCGATAAAATTAGGACAGAATGCAGTCGAAGGAAAGTTCTACGATCAGTTCCCCCCATGAAAGATGACCAAGGATTTTAAGGAGGTTCAGACGGCTATGACAAGTTGCCTTCCAGGAGGTTATGTGAAGTTTTCAGGATAACCGACGGTCAAACAGAAGACCGAGAAACCTAACAGTATCACATTCTGGGATACGCAAACCATACAGGTACAATGGATTATCAGGGACGATAGAACGTCTAGTGAAAGCAATTTGGTGTATTTTAGTACTAGAAAATTTAAACCCGTGAACAGTAGCCCAATTAGAAACACGGATGACCACATGCTGGAGAGAAATTGTAATGAGGTGACAGTCAGCGCTTGTACAAGCTGTAGCAAAGTCATCAACGTAGAGTGATGACCAAATATTAGATGGAAGAATAGCAAGGAGAAAAAGTGTGGTGCTCAGGACACATCCCTGGGGGACACCTTCGTCTTGGACAAAGTCTGGGGAAAGCATATTGTTAACCCGAAAACGGAAATGTCTCTCAGATAAGAAGTTCTTAGGGAAAAATGGTGGATTGCCTCAGACGCCTAAGGAGTGAGCTTGGGTCAAGACATTATATCTCTATTACAAAAAGTAATTTTTAAAAGACGATGGTATTATGATTTACTCCTTTTGTAATAAAGAGTTCGGGATACATAAATACACACATTAATAAATTAAGCTTTAATATATAAAAATCAACTATCTTTGGTCTAGAGGTATTTGAACTATGATATAATAATAATATGTACATGTTACTATAATAAATTATAATTAGCATCTAACTAAAATAGTAAATAATTATTCGTGACCCTACACAGGGTACCACTTTGACACTACTGTCACTATATATATATATATATATATATATATATATATCTCTATACTAAAATAATAAATTATAAATAACATTTTTATAATAATAAATTACAATCAACTGCCTCTCACGACACGATAGTCAGTCACACGACACTGTTCAGTGTACACTACAACCAGGCCATCTTCAGTGTCCCACGACACCCTTTTCATCTCAGTGTTCCACTACGGTCCTGTGCATATCTCAGTGTTCCACTCCATCGTACGTCCCTCAGTGTCACACTACGGTCCTGGCCCAGTTCAGTGTAACACTCCAACCTTTTCTTCATGTAATGTCCCACTAAACAGCATCTGACGACTCCGGCCCACAGTTGAATCAACGTAGACGGTGAGTCCACAGACATCACCGGTATGTCCAGTAAATCCTCTCCAAAGGCGGTTGACACACCGCTAGCCGAACACCATGCTGCAAGCTCACTGAATGCGGCCGTCAAGTAACTGAGGCCAACAGACTCAGTGAGCTGCGGTGAGCGGTTCTTCTAACGCCAGTAGATAGGTACGATTCGGTGGTCAGGTACCTACTGCATAGACGTGTACCCTGAGGAGTTCAGGTACTTAATGTTGAAGCCAGTAGACGTGTACCCTTCGGTGGTCAGGTACCTACTGCTTAGGTGTGTACAGCGAGGCGCTCAGGTACATAATATTTTCTAAAGCCAGTAGACGTGTACCCTTCGGTGGTCAGGTACCTACTGCTTAGGTGTGTACAGCGAGGCGCTCAGGTACATAATATTTCTAAAGCCAGTAGACGTGTACCCTTCGGTGGTCAGGTACCTACTGCTTAGGTGTGTACAGCGAGGCGCTCTGGTACATACTGTTACTAAAGCCAGTAGACGTGTACCCTTCGGTGGTCAGGTACCTACTGCTTAGGTGTGTACAGCGAGGCGCTCTGGTACATACTGTTACTAAAGCCAGTAGACGTGTACCCTTCGGTGGTCAGGTACCTACTGCTTAGGTGTGTACAGCGAGGCGCTCTGGTACATACTGTTACTAAAGCCAGTAGACGTGTACCCTTCGGTGGTCAGGTACCTACTGCTTAGGTGTGTACCGTGAGGCACTCAGGCTCTTACTCTTCTAAGGCCGGCTCAGCAGCCCCCACATTGGGTTTGATGACGCACCCAGTGGTACTGCCGGCCGGCAGGTTAACTATTTAACCGCTAGTTTGGCAGGGGCCGCAACAATCTCCAAGTTGTGTCGTATGCCTTCTCAAGATCAAAAAAGATTTCGATAACCGAGTAGTTACTGGCAAAGGCATTACTTACATATGTATCTAAACGGAGTAAGGGAATCAATAGTAGAATGGTCCTTACGAAAGTCATAATGACTAGTGGAGAGACTATTGTGTGTCTCTAAATACCACACCAAATGTCTATTTATCAGACGTTCCAACACCTTGCACGCCTCACTGGTTAGAGCAATGGGACGATACTGGGAGACATCAAGTCCCGAAGTACCTGGTTTACGAAAAGGTAGTACAATGGCAGATTTCCACAGCTGGGGCAGAACTCCTCGTGACCAAATAATATTAAAGAGACGTAAGAGGACCGCAAGGGCTGACGGATGCAAATGTTGAAGCATACAGATATGAATGCCGTCCGGCCAGCTGCCGATGATCGGCAAGCAGAGAGCGTTGACTAATTCTAGAAGCGTAAAAGGTACATTGTAAAACTCTTCTCTGCTAGAAGTCTAAGGGTTCAAACTCTCTGGCAGATTTGGAGGAAAGAAACGAGGGGCAGAGATGGAGCCCCTGGGAGATATGGACAAGATGATAACCAAGTTCGGTGGCAACGTCAAGAGGGTTAGCTATAAAGACACTGGCAACCCAAAGGACGGGATCCGGGTCGGGAGTGGATTTGCTATTCAGTTTCCATACTTTTTTCCAGACTGCACTCATAGAGGAAGCTGAAGTGACAGTAGAAACAGTCCTACCAACAAGTGAGTTCAGCTTCGCGGATGACACGGGGAGCGGCTGCTCTCGTCCGCTTAAATTAAAGAGGCACTCTGTGGTCCTATTGTACCGATATTTGCCCCATGCAACGCGTTTGAAACGTATCGCATGAGCACAGGCAGGAGACCACCAAGGCACGGACCTCTGAGAATGCCTGCCCGAGGTTTGAGGTATAGAATGTGAAGCTGCGATTGAAACTGAGGTCGAGAAGAGGTGTAACAGCTTATCAATGGAGGACAAAAAAGGATCCCCACTAAAAGCAGTTTGACGCAAGTAAAGGTCCCAATTCGCTGGTCAAATTGCCAGCGTGGGCTGCGAGGAGGTGGTGAGTACGAATGTGAAGTAAGGATGATTGGAAAATGATCGCTGTCATGTAAGTCCGGGAGGTCTTGGAGCTCAAGCTGTTCCAGAATGTCATCACCACATGTCTGGAAATTACGTTGAACAATGGTTTGTGGTAGAATGACAGTAACACTGCAAGAATTGAGAGAGTGATGTTTTTCAACTGTCACAGGAATGGCATCTATGGTTGTAAGGAGAGAAAGATCGTGAGCTTGGCTAGCATTCTTTACTGCGACGATGCCTGCACTGCTCTTGACAGCATGAAACAGAATATTATGACCAACATGGCGTAGAAGCGTCTTGTTTATACTATGATTAGAAAGATATTCTGAAGATGTCGGTTGCAGAGTGGAAAACTTCGTCCATTATGTAGTGTGATGCGTAGCATGTAAAGGAAGTGAGTGTCATGTTTGTCTTTTCTGAGTAGAGTAATAGGCAGGCGAAATAGTGTCATCAGAAGAAGGTCGTGGTCGTTTAGATACAGGACTGGAGGTGGTCCATATCACTGAGGTGGGCATGCAGTCTGAAAACCGTCGCACTGCATGAAGAGAGGCCAGAAGCATAGTCGAAGATGTGCGGAGGTCAGAGGTGTCAATGGAGTCAGGCCGAGCCTCTGTATCCAGAGCATGGGACAAAATGTCACCCGCAGAAGATACAGGGGCAGTAGGAAGGTTCAAAGAATGGTCTGGTAACAAGGCAGGGTCGTCAGAGGGTGCTGCTACAGGAAGGGGCCCAGGAGGAGGAGGTTCATGGACTTAGGACTTCACAGTTAAGTCACTCTTTTCTTCAATGTTTAAGAAAGAAAAGAAAAAAAGGTGGGGGGAGCATGAAGGGGCAGCTCCGAGGGGGAAAAGACCGAAAGTCTCCCCGTCCATGACAAAGAGGACAACCTCAGCCCAGCTGGTAGTGCAGATGTTGCATGGAACCCATGCCATACCCTACCCTTCAAGCCAGTAAACCAGCAATCCAGGATAGCAACCTCATATCTACAGAGCTACCTCAGTAGACAAAAGGGAGGGCGGTTGGAAACCTGCCACAAAGCACACTTCCTTTGGCCACCACCTCCTGGAATCCGACAAGCAGCCTCTAGAGATGCACCCGTCACCTGAAAGATATCCGAAGCCCTCCCCCATCCCCCAGTAGACTAGAGAAGGATCAGGATCTCTAGATGATCCAGATTCCACGGCAAACTACACTACCACCAAGGACCTCAACGGAAGGAGATGAACCCCGGAACCCCTTCTCAGATTTAGGAACTACAAAGCCTAAGGAAACAACCTCAAAGGCAGAAACAGGAAAGGGAAAGTGGAAGGATGGGGAGAGGAGGATTAGGGAAGGGAGGCTTGGGGGGTAATTAGGTTCGATCTGAGGAAGAAGACCAAAAGGTCTAATTCCCCAGAGCAATAGCCTCTTCACCGTGCAAAGGAGCCCGCCCCTTGAAGAGGTAGGGCTCCTGTAGAGTAACAATTAAGACAATCGTCCAGTAACTGTTTTATTCTCACAGGTGGTGTTAATGAGTATGCTGGTAGCCGCAAGTGTGGCTCTCCCAGGGGGATACCAACAGATCTCTTATGTACGTCATCCCATATTTCATTCATTTTGTGATCATAATTGCCAAAAACTCTTATTATTTAATTATATGTACACTAAATATTATACTAATGTGAGTATGTTGGTATGTTCACAGGCTCCAATTCCTTACAATTTCAACTATGGTGTCAATGCAGGAGCCACCAACTTTGGCCAGGAAGAGAGTGGTAACGGTGGCAACGCCAAGGGCTCCTACTGGGTCCAACTACCAGACGGTCGACTCGAGAGGGTTGATTACTGGGCTGACGGTAGTGGATACCATGCTACCGTGTCCTTCGAGGGAACTGCCAAACATCCCAGCTATACTCCTTCTTATGGTTACTAACTGTTGAGCTGATTTCCATTGTATCTACATTTATTTCATCAGCTTGAAATATATATTTCCTCTTGAAAGCAACTACTGGCTACTATTTAACTTATCAAGATGTTTCTTACACCTTGCAAAACGTTATATTTTCTTAAGTTTGTATATTAAATATAACATTAAAAAACTGACTTTTCGAAACATTTGAGTTATGTCTTTGCACGAAATAAACTAAACAAACATGAAAATATTTTTTCAATTATTGTTTCCTTCTTACTGAGTTACTTGTGCCCAGTAAGGTGCCTCGTGTAATCAGTGAATTATTATTATAATCAAAAGGCAGCGCTAAACCTACCAGGGTCATGCTGCACTGCAGGGTAGGAACTGATGCAGGATCTAAGGATAAATAAGGGTGGAAGTGATAATAAAGATGAAGTTAGGAGGTGCTGTGGGGAATGCTAGAGGAAGGATTATTATCAAAGTTTGTATAATAAATCAGTTGTTGTCAAAAAGTCGAAGATGGGGTCTGTGTCAAAGGTGGGCCAATCAGCAAGGAGGGAAAATAAAGTAAGGGCGTTGGAGCGATGACGACGCCGGAGGAAAATTCTGTGTGCTCGTTGATAGACAGGACAGTCCAATAGAATATGGGAAATTGAAACAGGAACTGGACAATTCTCACAAAGTGGAACAGGACATCTCTCCATGAGATACCCATGAGTTAGATGAGTGTGTCCAATGCGAAAACTAGAGTGTTGTCTCCCAACCTCGGTATCGATGACAAGAAGGCCAGAAACCCAAACTTAGTTTGATAGAATGTAATTTGTTATGAGTCATATCAGACCAACGTTGATGCCAACGGTTACGAAGGTGGGTAGAGATTACAGCAAAATAGTCAGAGAGAATTGAATACCTCTCTATGAAACTGGTAGGTCATGGTACTGCAGATTGTGCAGCAGAGTCTGCCTGCTCATTGCCCTGAACATCAATATGACCAGGGATCCAACAGAAAATTATTTCTTTATTTTTGCTAGTGATGCGGCATAACCAAAATTGTATATGAAGAACTGGGGGATGAGGCAAACCAAATTTTTTAATAGCTTGCAAAGCACTAAAGGAGTCTGAGACAATTACAGACTTTGAAGTAAGCATAGATACAGTACGGATAATTGCAATGAGATTGGCATACAATTCAGCTGTAAAAATGCTAGCCGAGTCTAGTAAATGACCTGGCACCACACTGTCAGGAAACACTGCTGCATTCCTCTATGCAGAAGGATCGTGAAGATCATGAGAGCGGACAAAATAGCGGAGGGAACGAGCATCACGACGATCATTCAAGGATGGGACATTTGCTTCTGCATAGAGGCTCTCAACAGGTGAGAAGCGAAAAGCACCTAGACATAAATGTTATCCCTGACGATGGATGGGATCGAGTTTAGAAAGAGTTGCAGGTACAGAAGAGACCGCAGAATACATCTGGTCACCATAATCTAGCTTCGATAAAATTAGGGCTGAATGCAGTCGAAGGAGGGTTCGACGATCTGCCCAACCCCCTCAATGAAAGATGAACGAGGGTTTTAAGGAGGTTCAGCTGGCTATGGCAAGATGCTTTCAGGGAGGTAATGTGAGGTTTCCAGGACAACCGGCGATCAAACAGTAGGGCGAGAAATCTGACCGTATCACATTCAGGAATTCGTGAGCCATACAGGTACAATGGAGTGTCAGGAATGATTGAATGTCTGGCGAAAGTAATTGTTTGTGTTTTAGAACTAGAAAATTTAAACCCATGAGTAGTAGCCCAATGGGAAACACTGTTGACAACATTCTGGAGTGAGGCTGCTGCCAGGCGACAGTCAGCGCCTGCACAAGCTATTGCGAAATCATCAACATAGAGTGATGACCAGATATAAGATAGGAGAATAAATGTCAGATCATTTATAGCAAGGAGAAAAAGGGTGGTGCTAAGGACACATCCCTGAGGAACACCTTCAGCTTGAACAAAGTCCGGGGAAAGCAAATTATTAACCCGAACACGGAAATGTCTCTCAGATAAGAAGTTTGCGAGAAAAAAATGGCAGATTGCCTCGGAGGCCTAAGGAGTGAGCTAGGGCCAAGATGTTTTAACTCCAAGTAGTCTCAATTGCCTCTTGAAGATCAAAAACGACTGCTATAATGGAGTGGCTACTAGCAAAGGCATTACAAACATAGGTATCTAAAAGCCATATTGACAGGTGGAGAGACTATTGTGTCTCTAAATACCAATTCAAACGTCTATTTACCAGACATTCCATCACCTTGCAAACTGCACTGGTAAGAGCAATGGGACGATAGTGCGAGGCATCATGTCCTGAAGTACCTACCTGGTTTACGAAAAGGTAGAGTTATGGCAGATTTCCACAGCTGGGGAAGAACTCCTTGAGACCAAATAAGATTGAAAAGACGTAGGAGGACTGTAAGGGCTGACGGATGCAAATGCTGAAGCATGCAAATATGAATGCTATCAGGCCCAGCTGCCAATTATCGGCAAGCGGAAAGTGTGGACTTCAGTTCTAGAAGTGTAAAAGGTACATTATAGGGATCTTTTCTGCTAGAAGAAAAGTCTAAGGGCAGTAACTCTCTGGCAGGCTTGGAGGAAAGAAACAAGGGGCATAGATGGGGCCATTTATAGATACGGGCAAGATGATTTCCGATTTCCGTGGCAACGTCAAGAGGGTTGGCAACTCTGACATTGGCAACGTGGAGAATGGGAGCAGGGTCTGGAGAGAACTTTCCACTCAGTTTCCGTACTTTTTTCCAAACTACACTCATTGAGGAAGCAGAAGTAATGGTAGAAACATAATTTTGCCAGCAATTGCATTGAGCTTCAAAGTTGACAATGTCGGCCGACCGCTCTCGCCCGTATAAAATCAAGGAGACGCTCTGTGGTCCTATTGTAACGATATCGGCCCCATGCAGCACGTTTCAAACGTACTACACGAGCACAAGGCACAAGGCACAAGGCACAGTACTCGCTCCCATCTTGTTCCTCATCCTCATATCAAACTCAAATTCAAATTCAAATTAAAAGTTTATTCTCTATAAAGATTACAATGTTGAATTTACAGAATTTGGTTGTTGTGTGGTTTACATGTAGTTAAATAATGATTACAGAGTGTACCACTAGAACGCCTAGCATGGCTAGGCATTTCGGGCAGACTTAGTTTAATTCTTTATTTTAAAATATTACAAATTATGAGGTAAGTTGGTATTATGGCTAAGTGACTAAATACTAGTTTGTGAGTTTAGCAATGTGAATGCTTTTGTTTTGGCACAGTACATAGTTTCAGTATTGGAGTATCAAAAGGATTCATTATTTTAAGATTGAGATTAATATTTCTGTTTATGGTCAAATGGGTGAGTGAGTGTAAGTGTGAACCACCAGGTGGTATTCGTGTATTAGTTGATGGGGTTATCAGGAGATAAGATGTTTTCTAATGTAGTTTTGAGGTGATGAATGTGTCTGCAGTTCTAAGTTCTCAGTAGGGTGTTCCAGATTTTAGGGCCTTTGACATACATTGATTTTTTGTAAAGGTTTAGTGGGAAATATGGGGAATGTCTTTAGAGTTTGTTTGTGCTGGTGTTATGCCCCGTGGGTTCTGTCACAACTAAACATGAAAGCGTTTTAGGTCAAGGTTTTATATTGGAGTTTTTAAGGTCCTGTAATGTAGATTGCACAGTAGTAAGTGTGGATGTACTGAACAGGGAGTAAGTTTAGATCTATGAAGAGTGGGGGGGGGTGTGCCAGGGATGGGATTTAGTGATTAAACTTTCTGCAGCTTTTTGTTGGGTTATTATGGTTAGGTGTGTTGCTGCAGTTGACCCAAGCACAATATAGCATAGGTGAGGTATGGATAAATAAGTTGAGTGGTATAGTGTGAGAAGGGCATTTTGCGGCACGTAGTATCGTATCTTGGAGAGGATCCCAACTGTTTTGGATACTTTTTTGGTTATGTGTTGGATATGGGTGCTGAAATTCAGGTTGTTGTCAAGGTATAAGCCTAGGAATTTGCTCTCATTATGTCTGGTAATTAGAGTGTTGTCGATCTTAATGTTAATTTGTGCATTTCCTGCTCTGCTACCAAACATGAGCTCATTACCTTTGTACCTAGTTCAGCTATCAAAACTTTGGGGGTCCAGTCCCTGGACCCATTACGTACCTCTGTAATCTATAAATACCTTTGTAACTTGTCATGATTGTGACCAGACTTACCTGGAGTTCATTACCTTTGTAAATTGTGAGTTCATTACCTTTGTAAATTGTGAGTTCATTACCTTTGTAAATTGTGAGTTCATTACCTCTGTAACTTGCTCAGCTATCAAAACTTTGGAGTCCAGTCCCTGGACCAATTATGTACCTCTGTAATCTTTTGACTACCGCCCACAGGATGGGTATGGGGTGCATAATAAACATATTAAACTAACTAACTAAAACTACCAAACATAATATAGTAGGTTCTGTCAGTGTTAAGCGTAAGTTTATTGGCTGTCATCCAAGTCGATATTTTGATCAGCTCCTCGCTAACAATGGTGTTGAGGGTGGCAAGATTAGGGTGAGAGATGTCATAAGTCGTGTCGTCAGCAAAGAGAATGGGTTTCAGGTGTTGGGATACGTTTGGAAGATCATTGATGTATATGAGGAAGAGCAGGGGACCAAGGACACTTCCCTGCGGAACTCCAGTATCAAGTGGCTGTGTTGTTGATGCTGTGTCTTTAATGGTAACATACTGATACCTATTAGTAAGGTAAGATTTGAAATAAGCAAGCGCATGGCCTCTTATACCGTAATGGTCAAGTTTGTGGAGTAGGATGTCGTGGTCTACTGTGTCAAAAGCTTTTCTTAGGTCAATAAAAATTCCTAGTGGATATTCCTTATTTTCCAGTGCTGTGTAAAGCAGATCTAGCATTTTTATGATTGCATCATTAGTGCTTTTATTTTTCCTAAATCCAAACTGGCAGGGGTTGAGTATGTTTTGTGCTGTTATAAATAAATATAGTCTCCTGAGCACGAGTTTCTCAAAGATTTTGGATAGCAATGGTAAGTTTGATATTGGCCTATAGTTGTTTAAGTCTGTAGGGTCACCACTTTTATGTATTGGTGTAACCCTTGCCATCTTGAGTAGTTTCGGGAAGGTGCTAGTTTCTAGTGACTTGTTAAAAAGTAATGAAATAGCATGCGAAAGGATATGGGCCGC